ATATATTAGTGTAAGCGTGCAACAGTGGAGCCGCAAGAGCAATGGTGCCGGCAGCGTATATGGTTGCACGTAGGATTTGGACCGAAACTGTCGGCAATAATAATAGGTGAAAGAGCGTATAGAAACATTAAGAATTTGGTAGTAAATAGATTTCGTATTTAGTTAGCATTATATTTTATTGAAACGCTTCAAGTGCCTGTGGCTAAATCCCAGGATACAGACACAAAATGCTGAAGCGTGCTAAGTTGGCACGGGTTGACTGCGCATGCTCAGTTTAGCTTGTTACGACAGTCAGTCACTGATCTCTACTATACTAACTTAGTATAGTATACTATGTTACTATGTTAGTATAGTAGAGATCAGTGCACTCAGTAGACAGCTACTGTACTTGTATGTGACCTAAATAAAGCTATGCCCATGCGTATTGCGAAATACCACGCGGGTCTGGCCTGGCACCCATTGCGTACACACACACAGTTTAGCGCGGTCTAAGCGGCCTGACACGCTTCTAAGCGGCCTGGTCCACCTCCATTTGCGGGACCAAATTAGTCCGGACTAGAGTGTATATATAGCGCGGGATAGCATGTAAACGCTGCAAAAATTTGGCGCGGGCCTGGGCCGGACTAGTTTTACGTGATATCAAATTTTTAGTCTGTAGGCTACGGGGTATAAGACGATTCCAGCGTATATCGGCATACGTATTTTCTTAGCATTTCTTACTTATTTCCTATGAATAGTGATGATATTTCAACGTGATTTAATACCAAATGAGATCAATACATGTAATGCATTGTGTAGCTAAGTAGAGATAGCATAGCTATAACAAACAATGTATCACACAATGTTCACTCAGTACCCGCAAAAGATTCATTTATTCAGAAAAAAACGCATAGTCACGCATCTGTCGTTCATCTGTCGTTCATCTGTCGTTCATCTGTCGTTCATCTGTCGTTCATCTGTCGTTCATCTGTCAGTCAAACATCTACCCGACATTATCAATAAAAGAGATTCCCATGACATTATCGCGATACGGTTAAAAGGTTTTTTGATGTCACGGGTGGGAAAAGCTAGCGTAGACCGTGAACGATAGATATTATGGTGCTGCTGCCGCGGGCGGGTTCGCGGTAGTCTCTTTGAGCCACTCGAACCCGAGTATCTGGTTAACGGGCGCACGCTTGGTGACGTCAACCTCGAGCATGCGCCGTAGCGAGGCGATGCATTGTGCGTCCAGTTTGGACATCATCTTCGAGGGAATCGTCAGCTTGTTGCTGAGCTGCGTCTCAAGCATCTTGCGAATGTTCGAGTCGTCGTACGGCATCGAGCCACACACCATGATGAAAAGCACGCAGCCGAGACTCCACACATCGTACATCTTTGGGTTGTACGGAATGCCCTGTAGAGTATGCACCGCATCACATTACAGACAGCCCTGACGACCACCTCTAGAGAGCAGCCAGCTCCCTATAAAGGCCATGTTTAACGTTTCCTTTAAGAGTCACGTTAACAATAACACCACTTTTTTGAACGGTACCCGTCCATAGAAGCCACCTTTGGCGCTTTCCTTGAGTTGCCGGTGATTCGCCGGCGTTGCTTAGCAGCGAGAGGCGGGAGTATACACAGTAAATAGCATGGGCCCGTCTAACTACTTCAGATCATATATATATTATATATATATATATAGATCCAGGGGTTATCTTGTTCTGTAGTCGAACTACAAGGAATGAAATGGGCGGTTCTTGTGTTTTATCAGAGGGTCAGTGGGTCAATCGAAACATTTGTGGTTATAGCGCGCCGAATATAAACAAAATAATATTGTCACCCCGTAATTTATGTGTGTCTAATCGCCACTTCGGTTGACAACTAATAAATGGATATTTTTTAAGTTAGCGTGTGATGGGCGGACGTGCGGATGGACGGGCGGTGTCACACGAAGCAATGCGATAATCTGAGCGGTTGAGAACTTTGCAGAAGAACTGTAGAATCCTTCGCAGCCCTTCTTGTGCAATGATTACTTTTTAGCTGAGCTGACGAAGTCAGATGCAGCTTGTAGAATCGCATGATTGGCCGTGCGTCCGTCCGTGCGTCCGTCAACAGTTGGGCACAAATCTTAACCACTCGACGTACGGTCTAAATATTCGTTACCTCGGGGGGGGGGGGATTGCGAAAAGGACTCGGGATGCCGAATATGGGGGTCAAGGGTCAAATGTCAAGGTGTGGCAATAAAGGGGG